AGCCCAAAAGACCCCTGCAAACCCATAAGGAAATTTTTTCCTCGTTTTTTCTTCGTTGGGGTCATTCGACCCATGATCACGGCTGGCTAGTGGAGGGGCGGGGCCTTCACACGCTTCAAAAAAGCAAACTTCTTGACAAACTTCCCCATCAAGCTTATCTGATCCGAGTCGGACCAAGCGACCCGGCTGTTGAATTGGGCCGGCTGGAGACTGACATCCTTCACCATTTTCTGTGGCCTTATTGCTGGCCGACACCGCCGACTTCCTCCGTCTCGTTCATAGCCTTTGTATGAGTCGATATCCCCTCGCCTCTTCCCATCTCCCTTTCTTCCCTCTTCCGCGTGCTCTCTCCCATCATCCTTTCGTCTTTGCTCGCGATAGTGAAGTGCTTCCACAATGGCCAAGGACGTCTTTTCAGTCCCCGTCTTCCTCGTCGTCTTTCGAGAGACGCTGGAGACGGTCATCATCGTCTCTGTCCTGCTCGCTTTTTTGAAGCAGACGCTTGACGGCCCCAATGCCGACCGCAAAGTATACAAGAAATTGCGAGCGCAGGTAAGAAGTGCAATTTTCTCTACTTTTCTGATTTCCTAGGCTGGAATCCGCTTCATGCTAATACACCAGCTATAGATCTGGATTGGCGTCGCAACTGGCTTCCTGCTATGCATGATCATTGCCGCCGCCCTCATCGGCGTCTTCTACACCGTCGGCTCAAACACCTGGGACAAGAGCGAGCAGTACTACGAGGGCGCCTTTTCCCTCGTCGCCTCCATCATCATCACCATCATGGGCGCCGCGCTGCTCCGCATCGGCAAGATGCAGGACAAGTGGCGCGTCAAGCTCGCCAAGGCCATTGAGTCGCCCATCAAGTTCAACTCGAACCGAGGATGGATCTCTCAGGCGCTGGAGAAATACGCCATGTTTTTCCTGCCTTTCATCACCGTCCTGCGTGAGGGTATCGAGGCGGTTGTGTTTATTGCTGGTGTGACTTTCTCGGCTCCGGCGTACGCTGTGCCTCTTCCTGTTGTCATTGGTCTCATGGTCGGTTCTGTCGTCGGATATCTCTTGTACAAGTAAGTGAAGCCTTTTGTTTTTTTCTACCATTGGGCGATGGAGAGAACTGGGTCTAATACGTGATTATAGGGGAGGTTCATCAACGAAGCTGCAGTACTTCCTTGTCGCATCCACTTGCTTGCTGTATCTCGTTGGTGCCGGTCTGTTTTCACGTGCCGTTTGGTCCCTTGAGCAAGGAAAGTGGAACAAGATTGTCGGCAGCGACGCCTTCGAGCTTGGCTCTGGCCCTGGATCATACGATATTGACAAGATTGTGTGGCATGTCAACGTAAGTAGCGCATCCATCAGGCAGACAGACAAACAGAGAGGACAGCCAGGCTAACAATGACTCCCCAATAGTGCTGCAACCCCAATGTGCCCAACAATGGCGGCTGGGGCATCTTCCAGGCTATCCTTGGCTGGACCAACTCTGCCACCTACGGTTCCGTCATTTCATACAACCTCTACTGGGTATTCGTCATGGCCTCGTTTATCCTCATCAGGTTCCACGAGACCAAGGGACGATGGCCCTTCCAGAAGGCCAAGCCCGCCGTGCCATTTGACTCAGAGGCCCGCAGCGGAAGTGAGAGCAACGATGGCGCTGTTGACTCTAAGAACGTCAACGTGTCGGAGAAGACTACAACTCTTAACTAAAGGGGAGAAAAGATGTAGCGGTGGATGGTATAAGAGGAACACGCTGCTGTGATGTACATGATATCATATACAAGTGTTCTAAACTCTGTCCTCCGATAAGGTTAACCATAATGAACATGATAAATATACCCTCATTCAACATTCTATGGATTCGTTGTGCTTAAAAGGGAAATATAAAAAAAAAAGAGAAAATTCCAAGTTACATTGTCCCATTGCCAGCATACCTATACATGCTCAATCCCAAATCTGCCCAATGGTCAATACACGTACCAGACGCCAACGTAAGACCTTTGTTCCTGTCCAACCGCCTGCTAGACCTCAGGCGTCCAATCCCAGGAACTCGCCGTAAAAAGGCTTTTGGACACTCTGTCAGTATACATGGCGCCTTCGTAACGAAGACGCTGATCATTAGCCACCGCCCTGGTAAAGACGAACTTTGAGCCTTCATAGTCATCTTCCGGTGGTCGGCTGTCTCGAAGTATTGTCCACGACACCTCGGAACGACGCTTCTTCCAGTCAGCATGAGCGATGGAAGTGCCACTAGCAGACAACATGGCTCGGATATAATCGATGATTGGCTCTATGCGGATTCTGAGCCCGCAGTTTGTGTGGTGTTTGTCGATCTGATAACTGGGGCTTTGTTTCAGGGTAGCGAGGAGCTCGTCGATGTTGATCATGGCACCGTCAGGCACTGACATCAAAGACGACGAGGTGAAGTCGACCAAGAACAGCAAGTTCTTGGATGTTAGGAACTTGATCATCTGGCCGAGCTGGAAAGAGTCACATGCTGCGCTGGAGTCGTATCCGAGCTTGCATTGTCGATCCTTGGAGCAGTACAGGTCAAGAAAGTGTCGTTGAACAGACGCAATGGTGTTCAAGACACATTCTCTCCGATATTGCAATTCCTCTGTAATTTGTTAGTTGGCTTTTTGGTGTTCCAGTGATTGATATCTCAATGGATCATGACTCACCCTCGATGCCATCGGGCAAATGCCACCACGCAGCTGTAAGCTCCTCATGTTCATCATTATACTCGCTCCACAGGCAAGATCCTCGGGTAATCAGCTCTCGCGCTGCCTGGTGTAGCTTCATGCCGTTTCCAAGAAGCCATGACACGAGAATTTTCTCGCGAAGCGTCTGCTCAACATCGGTAGTCCGGCCATTCTCGTCGGTATAGTTCCTCGTGGTTGTCACTGGCCAGCGGATCCCGTTAAGAGAGCGGGCCACGGCGGTGATGCAGTCGAAGCGGTCTGCCAGAATAGCCATGGTAGCCACCTCTGGCATGGCCGCTCTCGCCACCTTGACCGGTTTCTGGTGGATGATCCTCAGGATATCTTCGAATGCGTGCTCGCGACCCGCCGCCTTGGTGGCCTCGTCGTCATCCGTGATGGTGATCCATGGCAGGTCTGCGGCGTCTGCCTCCGCCGGCTTGATCTTTCTCGCCGCAAGCTTCTTGTGTGCCTCCTTGATGAGGCCGGCCTCCCGGAATTGCGAGTTGGACAGCAGGTTGGCAAAGTACTGCGAGTGCTTCTTGAGGGCGTCCTGGCTGACTCGATACGCAACCCGGACCTTCGTCTTGAGCGCCGGCTGGGGGGCACTGCCGGGCTTCTTTGGCGCATAGGCCGTTGCTTTACGGGACTTCTTGAGCGTCTCCTTTGACGTTTCGAAGGTCACGTCTAGCACGATATCGCCGGCATCGGCGACGGCGATGACATCTGGGCGCTCTACTTTGGGGCGTAGTGCAACAACTGCTGCTGCTTCTGCCTCTGGCTCTGCGGGTGCTGCCGCAGACTCGCCCATCCTTCAAACAGAAACGACACTATCGACATACAAGAATACAGGCAGCGAAGCAGAAGCAGAAACAGAAACAGCAGTCAAGGACAGGACAGGACAGAAATACAAATTCTGACGGGCCAGCCAGTCGAGATTTTGCTGAAGCAGCGGAGGACCTGCAGGTACAAGTGTCGTCCAGTAACATCTGAGCGAGTCCCTATCCGGGCCAGTCCCTGATGCCTAAGCCGCATTGCTGGGTACGAGTACATACATGGATCTCTGGAAGTTTTGCAGGTTCCATTTTTATTTTGAATTTTCCCTAGCAAGGCTTCAGTCAAATCACTGACTCGATGCCTTGGGTCAGATCCAAAAGGCGGTTAGTGCCCTCTCGCCGCCGCCGCTGTATGTACATACATGTACCGTAGCATACATGTAGGCTACCTGAATAATGAATAAGCACCGCAAGGCATCAGTCAAACGGGAGTTGAATTGATGGAGGATTACTCAACCGCAAAGGCGTTCTACTTTTGTGTTAGGGGACGGAGGTTAGTGGACAGGCACCAAAGTTACAGCGCTTCCCATCTCCATTCACCACGCTGTATGTACCCCTGCGGGATGCACCGTTTGAGAGCCTGCAGGGGCCCCCGGCATATCAGTCGGAAATGATATCACGCCTGGCGTTGATCTGGCTGCCTCTGCTTTGTTCGGGCCTCGATGCAGGTGCAGGTGGCTTCTCAGGCTGTGCAATTGATCAATGCATCATTCTGAGCATAGGCCTATATACTGCTCCATAAGAATTCAAGTGACGTAGATCATTTCAACAGTGCAGTTTGATTTATGATTTACCAACTGCAGCGAGTCAATGCATGTACATGGAGCTCATTTTAAAGAGCCGCCACTCTATACAAAGTACATGGCTGGGACATTAAAACTCAATGGCACCGGTACCTGGTAGTGGATTCAGTTCAGCCCAACAGCGCACGGCCATGTAAAGTTCCGAGCAAAAGGCTCAACTCGCAGCTACTCAACTTACTCCCTCAAACCATATGCCGCCTCACAACCAATTTGATACTTTCCCGTTCCATTCGTTTGTAACTATTTTATGATTTTCATAAACTTCCCCCTCGCAGCTCGATTACGACTCTATACTTTATCCTTATTTCGAAGCCCTCTAACTACCGCGGACCTTTCTTTGCTGGGCCGAGTGCAACCGTTGGTCTATCCGATTGCTGACCTCTCTGGCTTGAGACTACCATCTTCCTCTGCTTCTCCAACAGCGAGCCCATGGCTCTGAGCAGCAGCAACCTGACAGCGATCCGACTTCGAAAGCGACACCGAATGCTTGGGCTTGCGGGTCTCAAGCATCGGCCAGCGCACGCAGTAATCAATGGCCAACCTGGCAAATAAGGCGCTATGCTCAGCATCGAGAGCTGCCGCACACATCTCGCCCGACGCCATCGCCGCCCAGACGATTCCGGCTTCACTACGAGTTGCCCGCACAAGCCCTCCTCAGAACCATTCAGATGATGCTAGTCGGCTTAGAAGCAAGACCACAGTCAACCGTCGACAGCCATATTTGGCCGCAAGAGCACGCGCGACGCTGCATCCTGTACTGCCTTGGCGATGCGGAGCCCGCGGGGTATCTCGCGACACCCTCGTGAACCTGCCTCCGAGAAGCAGATATGCCCAGCTGGCTGCTGGACGAGACTTCCACACGTATTTCATCACCCATCTTCCGTCTTCCTCCCTACATCCAGACTCCGGGCGATTTCATGGGCCGGGCCACAAGCTGCCGCGCGAGGCCTCGGAGCCGCATACCCCCAGCCCCGGATCTGCGCCAGCTGTGTCGATACCAAACATGCCCAGTCGAGACATGACAGTTGTGCGAATCCCCTTGAAGCGAGCCAAGCACCACTTTGGCACTGCCACTGCCCGGGGAAATCGACCATACAATGAAGACGCAGACCAGGCAGGGATAGTGAACATGCCTGCGTTTGCAAAGAGGGCACCGACAAGCGTGAAACAGAAGCCAGGAGAGCCAACAGTGGCGGGCACCGCCCTTGGAGACCCCCAGATATTCTACTTTGGGGTTTTCGATGGGCACGGGGGAGCTCAATGTTCCCATTTTCTGCGTGATGAGCTACACGGGTATATTGAAGAAGCAGCGGCGGAGTTTGGCTTGCAGAGCAGCTTGCGCAAAAAGAACCCTTGGGAGGTCTCCAGCCGGCTGGTGACTCGCAAACAAGCTCTTAATGATGTAGACATGAAGAGACCTAATGAGGTGAAGGAGGATATCAAGCTTCCAACTCGCGATGGTGACGAAGGAGTTGTCAAAGCCCCGCGCCATGGAGATCCTCTTCCTAGTGCCAAGTCCGAGCCGGTTGAGGTATCAGATTATAAAAAGGCCACCAGCCTGAAGAAGGACCTTGTGCAGGACTATAGGGCCTCGATTGGAGGATACTTTCGCCGTTTTCAACCAGAACACTTTAATCACGCCGATGACGGTGACAGCGGCACTATCTCGATTGAAGAAGCCCTCGAGTACGCCTTTCTCCGCGCTGACTTGGATTTCGTTGCCGCCCAGGCTCGAAAAGCCGACCCGGATGACTCGAGAGTTAGCGACAGGCCCGTGAACAACGACGAGATATTGGGTCAGCCTCACGCTACTCCCTCAGGTCACTCTATTGGTGGCACTACGCGGTTCAAGGGGGGCTCTACTGCATCGATTGTGCTCATCTCAACGCCTACCCCCGCTCCCTTTTGGCATCCTGGTGCGCATTCTTCGATCATTGTGGCGCATGTGGGCGATACCCGTGTGCTCCTGTGTGATACTGCGACCGGTCTCGCCCAACCCCTGACTTCGGATCACCATCCCACCACACCAGGTGAGAGCAGACGTTTACGTAGGTACGCTCCGGCTGGCTCCATGGTTTCTAACGATAGCTTCGGAGAGGAACGTATTGCAGGGCTAGCCAACAGCCGGGCTTTCGGCGACATCAAGAGCAAGCGCATAGGCGTCTCTGCAGAGCCGGAAATCACCAGGGTAGAGCTTGGACCCGCTCAGTACTCCTTCATAGTCCTCATGAGCGACGGTGTCTCTGGCACGCTGAGCGACCAAGAGATTGTGGACGTCATCAAAGAGGCTAAGACCCCCGAGGAGGGCGCGCGCCGCGTTGTTGACTACGCAACGGAAGTTTCTGACGACGGCGACAATGCGACGTGCCAGGTCGTGCGGCTAGGGGGCTGGGAGCGTCGTTCTGAAGGTGGCCTGGGCAGTCTGGGGACCAAGGAGTTCAGAGATGCTCGACGTGCGGAGGCGCAAGACCCACGACGACGACGTGGGAAGCTGTAAGGGTAAGATGGGGATGGCGGTTACGTTATTTGTTGTCAGAAGCATATTAGGAAGGCCTTTTTTATCATTATTTTGCGGCTGCATAAACAACAGCGAGTTTTGGCTTGAGATTTATATATACATATACAGGCGTATATACATCGTATCGCGTGGAATAAGGCCAGGCGGAGTTATGGGCTTGCATCAACAGTTGGGAATGGCGGTTGTGCGACATGTATACTCAGATTTTCCTTTGTTTCTACCACCAATTTATAACTTCTTCACAAAGAGTCAGTTCCAAATAAGAAAGCAGAGGAAATGCAGCTAGCCATGAATATGAATATTCCCGGTGACGTTGCCATTATCTTGTATCAAAGGTAATCTTCAAGAAACGGAATGCAAAATCGTATATTCATGAGTTACTCATTCAATGTAGACAATGTGGTATTTCATATCCTGACCCCCCTTGACCATCCTCTTATCGTTTACTAGATGGATAGCGTACAACACCTCCAGAAACGTACATGCTTCAGACAAAGTTTTCATCTTCCAACGTACACACGCCACAGCTCTAGACACCATATGAAATTTCAGAATGCCCGGCATCGACCCAAGGTATGCTACACTTAGTAGCCGTGTCGGTGCTCATGCTGAGAGCCCCAGGGAGGCTGTTGATCCTGGTGCCCTTGGCCATGATACGGAGCATACTGGGGCTGAGCTGGGCCACCGTATCCATGAGGAGGCTGGCCCCCGCCGCCGTATTGTTGTTGCTGGTGATACTGCTGTTGTTGGTACTGTGGCTGATGGGAACCGTATTCGTGCTGTGAATAGTGTGGTTGGCCCTGGTAGCCCTGGTGATAGCCAGAAGACTGGCTATGAGATGATTCCGTATGAGACTGAGAAACATACGACGCACTCTCCCCATAACCATAACCTCCTTGAGCCGGCGGTGAATAGCGAGAAGGGGGAGCTGGAGAATTGGAAGTATAGTTCACAGCTGGATTTCCATCATGACCCTCCAAGGAGTTTAGGTCTCGGGTTTTGACTTGCTCCCAGAGAGACCCGGACACTTTACCGTGGCCAAGCTGTGTAACTGTGTTCCATGCGTCGTGAGCATGGCCGCTGACACCACCCTTCGTCTTCTGGTTGAGAATGTGGTTCTTGCCCTGCTTGACAGACTCTGAAGAGAGAAGACGGTCGAGTTCGTGGCGGCGAGGATGTTCATTGGCCCAAGACTGAACTGTGCGGAACATGTCTCGTTGGATCTGAACATGCTCATCACGAAGGGCGGGATGATGGAATGCCCGCAGAACGTCGTTGACGACTTCATCGACGGGTACATTGGGGTTCTCCCAAGCGTAGAGTACACGGCTTTGTAACGACTGTTAGAGAATAGGGCCATGTACAGTGAAGAAGAGAATACTTACGGAACAGTGTACTGGAGTACTGTAGCTGCAATCCGACCAGCACAAGAGTTCAGAATATTGGTGAAATGGTCCTTTGACAGCATGGAGTGTGTTGGGTCCGAGCTCCTGGGGTTATCCCAGGGCTCGAATTGGGAATTGGCACTGGCGCTGATGACGCCGGAAGAGCCATCCTTAAGCACCTTCGAGACCTGGTTGATGATAGGCCTAATAAAGGGAGCAAGAAGGCCGAGAATGAACGCAGTCAGCGTCTCGCTGATGTGCTCAAGGAGTTTCTCGAGGCCAGGGACCTTTTCGATACCTCGGCTAATGGCCTTTACAATCCTGTCGCGAAACTGCAAAATGGGGTAAATCTGCCTTGCAGTCTTGACTGGGTCGAAATTTGGGCTCATGCCGGGAACGACGTTAGTGTTCCCTCCGGCACGAGAACGTGCCTCGTTGTCTCGCTCCTGGGCATCAGCCATGGCCTTGAGCTCCCTAGCTTGAGAAGCAAAGCCCGATCCGTCGCCAGGGATCTTGGAGATGAGTGAGATGAAATCTTTCGGGGCGTCGATACCCAAGAAGCCCCTGGAAGCGCCTCCACCACCGCTACCGGAGGCTCCAGCGTTGAGGAGAGCAACGTCGACCTCGTCCACTTCAGATTGGGTGAAGTGATCGTTTGCCTCGCCAATGACAGAGTGTAAAAAGTCAACGCCGCCAAAGGTTCCGGTTACCAAGGGGTAGATGCGCTTTCCTCGGACCGTGATTTCGGACTGGGTACCGCAGTGTGGAAAGACGTCTCGATGACCCAACTCACGGAGGGCCAGCTCGCAGTAGTTGCTGTGGGCGCTAAAGTCTTCCATACAGTGCAGAGCCTGACCGAGACACCTAAGCGCTTCACACAAGTCGGCTTCTTTGCCGCTCTGTGATCCGCTGGTATAGAGACGACCGAAGTGGATGCTTCGAGCGAAGCTGTAACGAAGATAGCCGGCACTGGTAGCCCATCGCCCGCTCTCATTAGCAATGTAGTTCTTCATACCGGTACGCAGATCGATGTCAATTTCAATGGGATCAACCGGACCACGGAGACGAGGATCGAGTGTTCGAGCGTCAATGCCATCTGCGTAGCCTTTGGGGTTGTCAATGTGCTCCTCCGGACGGTAGCAACCTAAGCGTTCTTCGGTCACCTCGAACTCCTCGGTGGCATAGCCAAATGACATGAATGAGAGGACCCAGACCTTTTATACAGATTAGTACTAACAATAGTTTCCATCAGAGATACCGTCCCCTACCAAGATTCGAATTGTAGGAGCATTTACGCCCTTGAGGGAGCCAACATCGACTGCCTGTGAGTAGTCACGAAGCCAATTGCCAAAGTATGTTCTCTTGACAAGCATAGACGTCCATTTCTTGCCGTGAAGGAAGGCAATGCTGGTGAGCATATCCTCAATATCTAAGAGCAGAGTGTCAGTTTTCTCATAGAGATCTCTCACTTCCCACATTGTGTCACCCACCTCCATGACGCCAGTTGTGTCCCTCGACCTGGAACCTGTGAGCTTCTAGATGCCATATACATTCCCATGGCTAAACCAAGTACAAACCTGTGCAATCGATGGAATATTACCAGCTCCAAACGCTGCCGCTTTCGTTGGTAGCAGCACGAGACAAATGCACAACACCAGCAACCAGGTGCCCCGCGAAGGTGAAAATGACGCCATGATGCAGCCGACTTGGCGGGGCAAATATCAAAGAAAAATAGACAGGCTCGTTATATGGGACTGTCCCAAGTCAAGATCGAGTATGATAACAGAAGTTCTTTTATACTTTCTCTTTACCAAAATTCAAATTGTCGTCATTTGTATGCTGCGGGTGAGATTGGTTGCCTCCTTTGTTTGTTTTTGTTTGGAGCTACCTGTACCTGTTAGGTAAGGTTGTGTGAGCTTCAGCAAGCCACGATTTGCTCGAGCCACACTTGCACATGATAATCTTGGCCATTTTGATGAGAAAGTGGCGTCGCACAGCCACACGTCCATGAGGAGGCTGACACCTCGTCCAAATGCAGTGGGTTTTTGCGGTGAAGTTGGATTATGCTCATGAGTGTTGTTGGGTTACAGTGTGTGAATGTTTGTACAGTAAATAATCATTCATCAAATCAGCAGTGATGGGTCGGATACTTCGGTATCACAAGCAAAAATGAAAAATGTAGCATGATGCCCCTAATGTTGATATTGACGATTACGCGTGTTTGCTTGGACGAGCCGGGTTTTAAAATGCCGAGAGCTGCATGACTGAAAGAGGAAATTCGGATAGCCTATACATTATCCTATACGGAGCTCTGTTGAAAAGCTACCTGCAGAATACGAATGAATGCACGTTACCTACTTGTTACTCCACTGAAAAGCGGTATATGGACGATCAAAAATAGGTATCTCCCAAGTCCCTCGAGACCATCCCTTCTTCTTTAACACCGCAGTCCGTCTCCGGGTTGTCGGTGTTCGGAGACTGTCATGTACATCCGCACTTGCATTTGGAAAACATGAACCCTGACGAGAGCAATGTAGATGCTCATGATATCAATTTCAATTGAAGAATTGGATCAAGTAAACGGAAGAAGTACCCATAGGTAGAGGACTTTTAGAACTCAAAAGTTCATTGGTGGTGTGACTTTTGGCGTCTTCTCTGCTGAGGTTCCGTGGTAACGCCACTCTCAGCGCTCGGCTTCCGATGCACTGTAGTGTCTGACACCAGTAGCGTGCTTCAGGGACCCTCAAAATTATTCATCGGGGCTCCTTGGAACCCGCCCATCCGATCTTCAGTAAATCTGCCGGCCCCTAATAAATCCTTCGCTCCGTTTGCTCAACTTTTCTTCTCCATCAACGTGGTGACAGGTGCTTTACCTTCACATTCGAATCCTTTTTCTTTCTTTTTTGGGGTTTACCTTAGATCTGGCCTGCTGTCAGATGCGCCAATCCTTCTTCTCTTAACTTTCAATCGGAGTGCCGCTTTTGATCTACCCCATCTGTCTTCATTAACGCCACCTCATCCCTGCCCGCCTTTTTCAACCTTCGCAATAACACGACAAAATGCCTTCCAGAACGCTCCCTACGTTTACGCGCGCCGAAGTCGAGACGCATAGCTCAGAAAAATCCTGTTATGTCACCATCGGCACCAAGGTCTACGATGTCACCGACTTCCTGTCCGACCACCCCGGTGGTGGCCAGCTCATCATCGACTATGCTGGCAAGGACATTGAAGACATTTTGAAGGACAGTGTTTCGCACACTCATAGCGAGGCTGCATACGAAATCCTCGACGATTCTCTTGTTGGCTTTGTCGTTACCGAGAAGAACGGGGCCGCCAATGGAAACGGCACTGCCAATGGCGAGCCGTACGTGCATCCGAGAACTGGTATGGCTAACGAAGAGGACCTCAGCAAAGACACGGATTATACACAGGACTACAAGAAGCACAAATTTTTGGATCTAAGCAAGCCCCTGTTCCCCCAGCTCTGGTATGGAAACTTCACCAAGGAGTTTTATCTCGATCAAGTGCACCGTCCACGCCACTACAAGGGTGGTCAGTCTGCGCCCCTCTTTGGAAACTTCCTGGAGCCTCTTTCGAAAACCCCATGGTGGATGATTCCAATTCTATGGCTTCCCTGTGACGCATACGGCTCATTCTTGGCCTTCCAAGGCTTTGACTACCCCATCATCTTTGCGGCATATTGGGTCCTTGGCTTCTGCATTTGGAGCCTCGTGGAATATGGTCTGCACAGATTCTTGTTCCATCTTGATGAGTACGCTTTACCCCCCATGCTGGACTACTTTGCATGACCTGTTACTGATTATAAGACAGCTATCTTCCTGACAACCGATATGGCATCATTGCGCACTTCTTGCTCCACGGCATCCACCACTATCTGCCCATGGACAAATACAGATTGGTCATGCCTCCAACCATGTTTTTGCTGCTTGCGACTCCTTTTTGGTATCTCGCTCATACCATCTTCGCCTACAACTGGTATGCCGCCACGGCAGTCTACTGCGGCGGCATTTTTGGTTACATCTGCTATGACTTGACTCACTACTTCCTTCACCACGAGAACCTTCCTCTCTGGTACAAGGGACTCAAGAAGTACCATCTGGAGCACCACTTCCTCGAGTACGAGCTTGGCTTCGGTGTTACCACCAAGTTCTGGGACAACGTGTTTGGTACCGAGCTGAAGCCCAATGTTGTCAAGACCCAGTAAACTCGGCAAGTGCGACACGTACATATGTGCTTTTGCAGGCCCCTTTCATGAGGTGAACACTGCAACATCAGTTCTTTCTCTAATTCTTCTGGCTCTGTTTCGTACGGGATGGGGCAGGCTTTGGCTAATTTGGAATTGGAGGATTATGCATCGTTATGAACATGGGCGGATGGTTTCACGGGGTTGATAATGGACGGAAATAGGAAGAGGCAAAGTTTCTAATGGCTGCTGATACGAGTTACGGACAAATTGGAGATCCACGAAGAAGGGGATCTTATGGCGACACTAAAAATACCGATTGAGAACTTGTAGATATTATACACTTTTGATTCAATGACTACTTAATACTTTTACTACTTCCAATATACCATATCATCACTGCCCACTGTCTAATATTTTGCTCAATATTGCAGCAAATTATGAGGTTCTGATGGAGACAGGGCCCATCATTCACTAGCAAAGCAAGACGCTGGCCGGGCATTCTCCTGAAGCGGCCTGCGAATTTGCATCCCTTTTCTTGGGTTATGTAATCAGCGACAGCGCATGCGGCGAAGCCACCCACGTGACTCTGTCTCAGCCAGCCCAAGGAGAAACTCTCCGTGCTGAAACCTGAAATCCCAACTCGTTGGAAACTTTCTGGTCACTGATCTCAACAACGACGTCGTCGGCTCTGAGAGACTGCTTACAAACGCCTTGATACTCGTAGGCTACTGTTGATGAGAAATTTCCTCAAACACTTGCAATTCCTCGTTTTCAATCATTGGCCACCAAGGCCAGTTCACCATCATGTCTAATCTAGACGTTGAGGCACTGCTCGACGCTACGGCTAAGAACCCAGAGAAAAAGCCGAAGAGCCCTGATGCTGAACGTTCCAAAGATGATGGTAAATCTGATAGACGAGATAGAGACTCCGACCGCGACCATGGCCGAGAACGTGATGGCAGCCGTGTGAGAGACAGAGATCGAGACTACGATCGTCGCCGCCGAGATCGTCGAGACTACAGCCTTACTCGAAGCCGCCGAGAAACACCTGATGCGGGCACCCCCCGTAGCGACACTGGCAGCCACAAAAGTAGGCGGAGAAGCAGGAGTCGTGATGATGACCGCCGTCACTCACGCCGCCACAGAGACGGTGATTACTATCGAGGTGGACGACGCTCGCGGTCCCGTTCGCCCCCTCGACACTATCGCCCTCGCGATGATCGCGATCGCAGAGATCGACGAGACCGATCCGACCGTTACTCTAATGATTACGGCCGTGGCAGAGATGATGATCGTAATGACACACGCAATGAGGGAGGCAATGCCCCGCTTACGGAAGACGAGCGAGACCGACGCACCGTCTTTGTTCAGCAGCTTGCTGCTCGGTTGCGTACTCGTGAATTGAAAGAGTTCTTTGAAAAGGTCGGAGCTGTTAATGAGGCTCAGATTGTCAAGGATCGAATCAGCGGACGGTCTAAAGGGTAAGTGGTTCTTATCCCAGCTTCGATGACTCTCTTGTACCTAATGCTAACTTGATGTCAGTGTCGGCTACGTTGAGTTCAAAAATGAAGACTCGGTTCAGCTAGCCCTCCAACTTACCGGACAGAAACTCTTAGGCATCCCTGTCATCGTACAGCATACGGAAGCCGAGAAGAATCGCCAAGCTCGCAACCCAGACTCATCGAATGGTCACCCCAATTCTATTCCTTTCCACCGCCTCTATGTGGGCAACATTCATTTCAATGTCACGGAGCAAGATTTGCAAGCTGTATTTGAGCCATTTGGAGAACTGGAGTTCGTTCAACTCCAAAAAGACGACAATGGACGCAGTCGTGGCTATGGGTTTGTTCAGTGAGTCATCTATCCCCTTTACCAATTTTCCACCAATGAGAAGAATGTCAACTAATGCTGATTCCTCTCTCCAGATTCCGAGACGCAGGCCAAGCTCGCGAAGCTTTGGAAAAGATGAACGGCTTTGACTTGGCTGGTCGTCCTATTCGTGTTGGCCTTGGCAACGATAAGTTTACCCCTGAGAGCACTGCCAACCTAATGCACAAATTTTCCGGTAACAACCAGGGCTTCCAAGGCTCTGCGTTCTCTGGAGCAGGTGGCCGTGGCCAGCAGTCTACATTTGACCGAGCTGGAGGCCGCGATAGCGAAAAGACTGGTGGTGCTAGCGCTTTAGACGATACAGACGTTGCTGGTGTCAACTTTAACAACTATAGTCGCGATGCATTGATGAGAAAGCTTGCCAGGACCGACGAAGCCCCGACCAATGGCAATGACGAACGCCAACAGATCCTCAAGCCCAAAACGGAGACGAAACCCCTCCCTGTCAACGTAAACATGGCGAGCCGTTGTGTTGTGTTGCACAACATGTTTGACCCCACTGAGTAAGCAGATGATCCACCCCGATGCAAATTCTCACACAATCCTTATACTGACGATGAAATAACAGAGAAGAGGGCGACGACTGGGTCAAGGAGCTCGAAGACGAAGTTCGCCAGGAAGCCGAAGAACGATATGGACATGTTGTTCACATCTCGGTCGATCCGAACTCCAAAGGAGATATTTATCTCAAGTTTGACAAAGTCCAAGGAGGTGAAAATGCCATCAAGGGTCTCAACGGTAGATACTTTGGCGGCCGAATGATCGACGCGTCACCTGTTGTAGACGCCGTCTACAGCAGTTTGTTCTCTCGCACCCGGGCAATCTGAAGCTAATGCTCTCCTATTCATATTGTGCAATCTAGGAACTTGGAGGTTGGTAATTAGTCTCGTGAATCTATCCCCTTGAGTCATTCATTAATTCATTGGCAGTCGTCCCTATGCCACGTGTGCAAGATTTTCAGAACGATTCCTGCTATCACAGGATAGCAACGAGATGCAGGTTACACCTTTTGTCCAAACGAATACTAAAACAGCCAAGCTCTTTTGGTGCAGCAGATCTCTTGAATCCAACGGGGCGCCTTGGTCGCCAACTTTTGTCCATTTAATAATGCGTTTTAGCACCTCTTCACATGGCAATGTCCCAAACTGATGTTTGTGTGCCTAGGACGGTCATCGATAGTCGTTTTGACCTTGAAAATCGTTTTCGAAAATCCTGTAGGATTAGTTTTGATATTGTAGCAAAAATAGTAACAATAAAAGTCTTAGAGTATGCAATACATATGAATCACGATGAATACCCTGAATGGTCAACCCGGAGACGGCATTTCTGCTGGTGAGGCTCGTGAATGTATGTATATAGTAGTGAGTATGAGAAAACTCGATTTGGTGATGGAACATCAAAGTGTTGGTTGCGGTAGCCCTATTCCCCTATCCTCTTTCACGTCCATCACATGCATCATGCTGCGGTTTCCCCCTACTTCACCTTCTCCCTTTTCCTCCCCATCTAACTTGGAATTATCTTCTAGGTACCTCATTCATTATTTTTCTTGTGGACGTGGTACAGCAGCATTGTACGTATCTATGTGTCGTGCATGACACGTGATGGCAGTTGACTCTCCTCCTCTTGCATTTTCCACTTCACTTCTGCCTCACCTTTAGGGCGAACCCACCTAATATTAATATCTAATTGATTCATTCACTGTGCAGCTAATCACGGCGTTATCGCTATCAAAGTACCATCCCTTTTCACATTCTCCCTAATTCTTCTCAATGAGGCACCTCCTTCTCGGCTTCTTGCAGGCTCCTTGGTGGCGGTTCAGGAGAAGCCCCACGGCGGGCAGAAAACCTGCACGAGTTGCGGTACTCGACACTGACGACTTGACAGCTTCACTTTGGGCTCACTTTGCGTTCAGCTCTTGGCCTGCTGGCAACAATTTTGCGGCGTGATTCTTTGGGGCTTCCGGAATTTCTGCGTTTGCTTTCCTTCACCTTTTACCTTTTTTCTTCTCCCTACCTCGACAAGCCTGCTGGAGATTTTCCACTTTCTCGGCATTTTTCAGCAGAGGATTCACATACCTTTCAGAAGAATCGGGATTCAGCATCGTTACATCTTGTAGAGGATTTCTTTCTTTCTTACTTTACCATCTGCATGGCGTACTTGGACAGGTTGAACGGGATTGATGTTCACAGCCTAGGGGCATCATAACACTCAGGTCTGTTTCCCAACCTCATGATATTGACATCTTCTGTTCAATGCAACATTCACGCGGCTGGACCTTTTCATCTTTTGTCTGGTCCCACAGGCCACTGGCATGCTGAACACCATCATCTTCCCTTTTCCGCTTCAACCTCACAGCAATTCGCATTCACTGGGCCGTCATCCACAATACTAACGCTCTAATAGTACAGCAAGTTTGGGCACGTCTCTTCACCTGATTTTGAGAGCCTGACTACCCATTATTCTACTTTGGATTTTTACTCTGCTCTCTCATCTCACACGGGTCGTCGCAGAAATCTCTCCGCGCTTTTCCTCTCCGCAGAGAATGCTCCTAGGGGATATCAGGCCCCTTGCGGTAGAACAACGCTTCAATACCCGCAAATCATCGATCAGTTCAGCTGAATCAAGTATCCAGGGAGCTACGGAGGTGATTGGGAACATGTTGTCGGTCAACTTTTCCACCCCGCTTACCGGGCCTGCTCGATCTGAAAGGATCAAACAAATGTCTAATAACCACGTAAGTGTATATGCTTCTCCCACTGTGGTCCAATACTAACCAGATACCGCTATTAAGCCGGCATTTGAGAAGTCGCGTTTAACGCAAGAGGTTTTGGTCAAGATACAGCACTCTTTGAGGAGAATGCCTGGCGTTTCCGCAAAAGAATCGGCCGAAATCATTCAAAGCCTGATAGAAGTTGGTCAGGTCATCAGCCAGGAAACCAGTGCGCTCGTTGAAGCTGTGATGAATCTTCATCTCGACCAAGAAGATACGGATAAAGCGATTGCTCGTATGAGCATCGAAGCAAACCTTGCCAAAGCTAGAACTGATGATCAGAGTCAAACAATCAACAGCCTCCGCGAAGAGCTCAAGGCCGAAAAGGAGAAACGGGAACAGGCTGAGTCTACCCTGAAGAATATGATGGAAGGCATAGTGGACATTGCTGCCGAGCTCAAGCAGTTGAGGGATAAGGCTGACAGGCAGAAATCCGACTCTTCGAACAATTCACCAGCTACTGACGGTGAATTTGTCGTCAAGGTAAGATCATCCCAACCCACTGGCGACGAAGTGATTTCAACTAACTATGGCTATCTCATGCAGACTCTCGACAACACGATCCAGATTTTGGAAGACCAAGTCAATAAGCACCATGTACCTTGGGTTGGCCCTGTGACTCGGGCCATCGAGCCTATCATCGAAACTGGCACGGCCAGAAATGGCTATCATAGGCCTCTGGTGCCTCTTCAGGAAGAGACCTTGGGTGACGGAAGTGTCTTTAGCGATGCTCCACCACCTCCCCGAGCTGCTTCGGCCTTTCAGCCTGCTCATCGCCCTCCTATGGGACCGCCGCCGCCAAAGTTTGGCCAGTTCCAGGGCATGCCACCGCGACCTCCAACAGCCCTGTCTCACGAGCGCCGAAGTGCCAACGCGTGGAATCTAGTTGCACCTATCCAGGGCGGCAGACCAGGCTCCTTCAACAACAACAAGCCCCCGTTTCCGGGTCCCCCTTATGGCCGAGCTCCCTCTCGCCAGGGGTTCCAGAATAATCATCGTTTCCGGCCTGATAGCTTCCCCCATTCTGCATTTGCGCTGCCAGAGAACCCACCTCCTAGGTCCAACAGCGCATTTGCATATGGGCGTGACTATTTCCCTAACACCCCAACAGGTCCAGGCCGTGGCAGATATGGCGGCCGTCTGCGTGACAATAAAGTGCCGCCGCCCCCTTCGCTAGATTTCGGTGCCTCCTCGTCAAGCGGTTCTACTTCAGGCCCTGCTAGCACCATCGCCAACCGCAGCTCATACTCTAGTCAGCCGATCACGATCACGGAACAAGCCGTCCAGGCTTGGCATGGGTATATGATGCATTTCTATGCGGCTATTCGCAACTTTGTCGAGCGTCATGCCAACAATCCCGATGTCACAGGGGAGATCAAGCTGAGCCAGACTCATCTGTGGCCGATCTTGCTTGCCACATACTTTCCCCTTTCCGAGCAGGAGGCCGAATCTTACCTCGAGTTTCACGTTCGCAGCGAGAATTCCAAATCATGCATCGTCACTCGGGTCGTGATCGACTTTGTCGTGAACCGTGTTTGGAACGCCAGCGCCTGGGCCGGTGCCGATGCCGACTCGACCTTTAGCATCATGGAAATAGAGAGAGATCTGGACCGAACAGCAGGTAACTATCTTCCGCCCCATTTCCCCCTTTTCCTCCTGTGTATGTGAAAGAAGTATACTAACAATCGACAGGTCAACCATCGGCTGTTCGCCAACCAATTCTCGACCGCATGGCCACCGTCATTGATGCCGTCATCAAAAAGGAGCAAGGCGGCCCCTTTGTCAAGAATAAAATCGAGGAAGCCACCCAAACGCTCCTAGCCAGCCTGCAACCTCTTATGAACAAATTTTACAACTCCGCCGACGCCTTCCGCGACCTGGAGCAGGTCATCGACAGCGCCTACGAGATCTCGTGCAAGATCCTCACCAGTCGCCTGACGTTCGACTTCCGCTTCCCCGAGATCGGCAGCCGCTTCTCCTCGCAGTCCATGCTGCCCATTTGGCCAAACAGCGACCCGTTGGAGCTGCAGGCGAAGCACTGGCGCGTGGCTCTTGTTACTACCCCCGTGGTGACTTGCCGGAACGACACGGGCTCCAATATTTCCGCGCACTCTGTGTCTTTGGCAGACGTGTTTTGCATGCAATGAGAACGAAAAAATCGGTTGAGGGCCTGCTATAAATCAAGAGAAGAGCGGCTATTTGAAGGCTAGGAGACAAAGGAAGGGATTCATTAGGCAGGATCGGGAAAATGGAATGGGCTATGGCGTTCTCTGGTTTATCTGATTTCAGGTTTTTACTTACTTTTTAATTCTTCTCGAGAATAATTCAACGTCTCTCGCCCGGGAGTCAAGCCCTTGGAGAGGCTGCATCGTTTTCCTATTTCTTTCTCTCTTCTTTATGCTCAGAACATGGGAAGCTCTCTAAACACTTACAGAAAAACGCTAAGCTAAGAACAATGAAGCCGGTGAAAGACAGTCTTTTTTTAAACGTCACAATCTGAGAAACGTGGGATATGGACCTAGTCTAAAAGATATTCTCTTTTTCAGTATTAATAAGAGCATTTACTTTGATAAGCAACACTTGGAAATATCAGAAAATGACGTGCTTTCTCTCTAGATTTTGCCTCTTGGGATTGCCGTGGAGTAATAGCCTTTGGATTAAACCTTTCTATTCTCCCCAACCCTTGTCCAATGTGATAACCGTAATACCCATGGTGTCTATTACCGCCCAGACCGTAATTTTTGATACAAAGGCGTAGTCAACCTTGCCAACCATCAATCGGAAGCTCTCTCGCCCATGTCCCCCAAAACCAAATTATCAAGAAACCTTTACAAAACCGTAAAGCAAAAAGCATATCTGCCTAAAAAATTGCCACGTCCACTTAGTTGAAGAATATTTCAACCCAAGTGACTATTCCCATCGCTGGGACATCTCTGATCCTCTCCAAGAGGAGCTCTCTTAGACATTCTTCACAGTAGGCAACTTATCCAAGCGGCGAATAACTGCTCCGAGAACTACCTTGAGGATGGTGTCTGCAGAAAGGGTCTTGGGACGGAATGGTCTAAGGGGGTTGGCATCCCAGCTAACCGTATCCACCATGTCCCGGACCTGGCTCGCGGATCCAAAGAGGTTATCTAGATGTTGCAACGCCTCTGCGGCTTTAGGCACGTTCCCAACTTGGAAGAACTGGATGCCGACTTGATGCACTGGAGCGTCAAGTTTATCGAGATCAATTGCGTATTTTCTAATGACAGAGTCTGGGTCGTCTGAAGGTTCGCCGTCAGTAATGACAATGATGTTGATTGGCTTGACGTCGTCGATATTCCTGGATTTTTCTTTAGGAGTGGGCAAGCCACCAACATAAGGTCGAAGGATGCTCCGCAGCCTCGAGCCGGTAGGCGTCATGCCGTTGGGCTTAACTTTGTTGAAAATTTCCGTTATCTCTTCGGGAGTTTCGATATTGTAGTACCCGTATGGTGCTTTGCCCTCGGGTGTGTTCTTTGTCTTTGATTGATGGTTCAAGAAATACAAGTCGATGCCGTCCTTGTCGTGAGTGGTGCAAATTGGCGTGATGGCTCGAAGGACGCCGGCTACCTCTTCCCAGGACTTGCCTGACATGGAGCCAGAGTCATCGATGACGAAGACGGTGTCGAAATATGACAGAAACGCAAACGGGTCTTCGCCATTTGAATATTTTTGCAAACGCTCCGGAACATGAGGTTCGGCAATCACATCGTCCGGGGAGTCGAACGGATTGACTGGAGCTTTAGAGTCATAGGGATTAGATGGAGCTTTGGAGTCGGACAGGCCAGCTGAAGAGGGAGCTGGCTCGAGCGAAGAATAAGAAGGAGGTTGGTCGTCTTGTCGCAAACTGTCAGCAATCATCCTCTATCCAGCCATCCAGCCTCTATGGAAAGGGGCAGAGTAAGTTACGGGGATATCAACACTCACTGCTATCTCCATCTTCCCAAGAGGGCTCTCTCAAAACGGACTGGCTAGGCCCAGCATATGAACCACTCGAAGCCCATGACTCGCGATTCTCGTTGGGCCGTTTTTGAGAACCCTTGCCCTTGAAGCTTCCAAAAAGTCTCCTCATCGTTGCTGAGTGTGAAGAGAGAGGTCTTCACAATCTGTAGTTTGATGGAAAGGTCAAATAGCAAGAGTAGTAGCAGTGAGAGGGGAGTGAAGAAGAAAAAGAAGGAGAGAGGAAGATGAGGAGGAGGAGAAGAAGAAGTATTAGTGTTGGTTGCTGAACAAGTGCTTGGCAGTGTAGCCGCCGGATGATTAATATCCTTTGTCGAGTCTGTGCTTTGCTTGCTTTGTTCTGATGGTGAAACGTCCAAGTGTCATGAAATGAACACAGCGCTATTCACTTTATAAACCACCCAGTCATGAAAGAGGGAGGTATGCTGGTACCCGTGCCTGCCTAATGACAATAGAGTTTTGGCCTTCCGATTTGTTTGAAAATGGAAAGTGCCAAAGCCAATCAAGCAATCAAAAGTCAGCTGCTGTTTTCTTAGTTTTGTCTTCGCCTCGTTTTTGCTTTATTTCTTTGTTCCCCTTGCGTGGAGTGCAGGTGATGAACCATTCAGGCACAGACTCGTGTATAAAGCCCCGTGGTCGCACGTTTTATATGTAATGTGCGCTGTTCAACATTGTCATACGTGAAACTACATGAAAGAAAAGAAAAGTTCCCCATTAGACGACGCCATGACCCATTCACAGCCCGGTAAACTTTGCATATGTCCAAGTTCACTTGTGATGCGCAGCAGTCTTCTGTCTGCTAGGCATATTAATTTCCATCTTCTGACCATGCATGTCTTGGGAGAGTTTACAAGTGCCAACGGGGCGCTAAGGGGCTGGTGGAAACTGTACGATGCGCCCACTCAGTGCCTGACCGATCTGGGCTATGGGTGTGGCGCAGCACCCCACATGTCGGTTGTGCACCAGTAGACTCTCAGCATAGCCCTGCAAGGCCTACCATGAGGCTGAAGGAGCCATGAAGATGCGATTCACAGATGCTTCTGCAACATCTCGAACGTCGAGCCACGATCCTGACCCTGGCTGCCTAGTACTCTTATGTATTAGCTGCCTCCTGCATATCGCTTCTTCGGCCCCCGTGAACCGAATATATGGAGTTGGTTCATAGCCTTATGTCCAGGTACCAGGAACTGGCGGTTAAGAAGCGATAAGGCAACCTCGAAGGCAGATCAACTGCGGCGCTACAAGGACCCACGCATACAAAATTGCATTGGCATTATTCATTCCAGGCGCTACATGTTGGCATCAAAATGCTAATCCGCCATTTATCGTTCCTCTCAATTTCCCCCTTAGGCTCACAGCCTCATGTTCCACCGAACATACCTCCACTAGTGTCTCTCGGTATGGAACCTTCACCCTCACCTTCGCCTTCGCCTTCGCCCATTCTGTCCACGGTGTGAGACTCGGTCAAATATATGTCTGCCTTGGGCTTGAGCAAGTTTCTTACTCGCCTCCTTAGTTGGATCGCTTGAACCTAGACCGCAAATGTTAGTGACCGATAGCTAGATCAGCGGCTTGGGGCAAAATCATACTTGTTGACAACACGCTCAATTCCGTCTAGGCCAAGCTTGAGCACGTCCATTTTAGGTCCGTATGATAGACGCACGAAGTGGTGGCACGGGCTGTCGAACAGGTCACGTCGTCGAGAGGGGTTGAGATCAAAGAAGATACCGGGAACAACAATGACCTTTTCTTCCAAGCAGGCCTGGAAGAAGTTGAGGCCGTCTGAAATGGCGTCAGGAAGGCCCTCGAGGTTCAGCCACCTTGAAAGTTCAAAGAGTCAGCTCAGTCATGGACGCAAAATCTCTGGGGTTGAAATAGGCCGTACAGGTAAAAGGTAGAGTCAGGGACGTATTTGATGGAGAAACCCATCTCGCGCAGACGACGGACAGTGTAGTCACGCTTGTCCTATTCACCAGTCAGATTTTTCCTCTCTCATTGTGATTATGGTTGCACGAACTCGGAAGTGGCGCTGGAGATGAATCATCTCGTTTTGAACCGTGGCTGGCTCAAGCATGGGGACAGCAGCCTCTTGGAGGGCATGCACAGCACCGCCATCCAAGTAGCTACCACATGAGCCGATGCTAAATAATCCGTCAGCAAAATCGCGGAATTGGCCAAACCGGCATTGCAAGATAATACGCACGCGCTGATGTACTCCTTAGGACCAATGATCCACGCAATTCGCCATCCAGGAAGTCGGAAGCGCTTGGTAAGTCCATCAATGATCAGAACGTCATCCTCATCGACGTCCTCGACGTTCTCGGCAGCCGAAATGGTGGTACCATCGCAGTTGCTGGTGTAGTTGTAACCGGAGTAGAACTCGTCGCTAATGAAAGTGGCGCGGCCACGGCAGAGGTCCTGGATCTCGGCCAGCTCGGGGTTGGCAACGACTCGGCCGGTAGGGTTGCGAGGGTTGGAGGTAAGGATGACAGAGGTACCACGGGCGATTTCCTCAGCAATCTTGTCGGGGTGGATATGGTAGCCATCCTCTTCGGAAAGGGGAACGGGAATGGCTGCAAACTATAGCGCGTGTAAGTCAAATTTGCCCAGCCTCTCAGATCCAAATCACAGCAAGACTCACGTTCTTGAACAAACTCAGCATCTCATTGTACGCTGTGTAGTCGGGCAAGAAGAAGGACAGATATGAGCTGCCCAGGACGGCGGCAATTCGGATCAGACCAGCACGGCCACCGGGAACAATGGCAACGTTCTCCCAGGTGTACTGGCTCTCCTTGCCCTGACGGTGCGTCTCGTTGTAGAGCTTGGCAACAGCCTCTCTCAGGGGCTTGATACCCGCGGTAGGGCCGTACTCTCGCGCCGCAACGCTGATGTTGATAGTGTCGGGTCGCTTGAAGCAGCCGGCAATCTCGTCCTCAACTTCGGGAGCACCCTGGCCAAGGTTGGCCCACGCATCGGGCTCCTCCAAGAAGCCATACTCGCTGGCGCGCTCAGTGCACCAGATGACACCGGTGGACGATCGGCTGGCATCCAGGCCGGCGTGGGGCATGTGACCTTCGTGCGCATTACGGAATTGTCTGTGGACCTTGGATTGAATCTCTGTAAGGCCAAAACACGGTCAGCCTTGCCTCAAAGATTTAGGCATTCCGGAAGAAGTCGATTTGACAATTCGGACAATGAATTGCCAGGTCAATTTGGCGGTGGCTGCGCTGGGCTAACAAGCTGCGGGGGAGGGGTAATTGGGCTGGGCTTTGGAGTTGGGGTTGGGTTTTTATGGCGGGGTCTGGACAAAAGAAACAATCAAGCCCAGTCGTGCGCCACCGCTGCTTCTGACGGCCGCCACCATCGTGAAACTGCCACGCGTGAAAAGGACAGAAAAGCGACGGTGGCGAATATTTTTCATGAATTGATCGATGGGAAAATGAAGGGAGCAAAACTACAAAAGTAGTCGCTGTGCGCATCCCGGCATGGAGACGGTGTAGAGGCATCACTGACCGTTCATCGAGGGCTCGACGTTGCTGAAGCGTCGCAGCAGCGGCTTCGGTGCGCCGGTGTGGCGATTGATGGAGAACTTGCGTCCGGAGAACATCTTGGCGGTTCTTTAGACTAAAAAGATGACCGGATTGATCAGTTATTCTGTTCCAACAGTAGGAAAGAAAAAGATTGGAGTTGAAGCAACAAACCGGAGGTGAAATGGAAAAAAGAGATCTGCTTTCCAGAGAAAGACCCGGAGGTAGGACGGCCTTCGGAAGAACGGCACGGTACAACGTCACTCAGCTACGAAGCGTGAGGAGCAAGGCAGGAATTGTCTGAGCTTCAGGGGCGATGCGTCAAAAAGAGAACTGGTGCCTCTGTTCGTGTGTAGCAAACAATGAAGCTGGACAAGAAAAACTACGATCCGGATTCTCTGGGGGCGTCACCGCGAAGCTCGACCTATATACGGAGCAATTTGAGAGCCCCAGAGGGGCACGGGGGGCCACTGACAAACGGATCCGTACAAACCACAGCGCTAGATTCTTCAGATGACCCTCCCTGGTAGGGCCCCCAAATGCCACAGGCCGGTTCTTTTCAGGTGGAGAGGCCGCTGTTCGGCTGCCAATCCGGGACGCTGTCTGGGCACCAAGTGTGACCAAACGGGGGGAAGAGGCTTTGCAGCTTGTAACTAAAACCGGCATGGACCAACCGATGTGAGTGACGGCAAGGCCGGTGGCAGGAGGATCGTCCAAGCAGAATGAATTAAAAAATAGGGCTTTGTAAACGCCAAAACAAAAAAAAAAAAAGAGGAATTAAATAGGATAGTTGAATTTGAGAGGCTTGTGTGTTTTTGTTAGAGAGAGCTGGCGTTAGTAGGCGTCACGTTAGATCCAGGGGGAAACATAGGCAACCCGGGCCGCAGTGAGGCTATTCCCACCACCTTTACTCCTCTTCCCCCTTCTCCTTCTTCCTCCACCACAGCTGCATGTTAGTTGATCACTTTCATCCAAACAAAAAACCTGCTAAATCTCCAGCAGTGGAGCTTGCATAGCTGACCCTGCAGGAAATGCAGAACAACAGAACCAGGAGAAAAAAAAAGGAGCGGTGTCCAGGGCCTCCCATTATCCAGCTCTGCTATGCCGGCCTAATACGGAACATGTCGAACAGACTAACAAAAGGCCTCATGCTCGACGTCGGGGGAATGTCGCGAATAGAGAGCTCGACAGGTATAAGTCAAGCAGTTGCCTTGGCTTTTTCGGTGACGACGCCGCCTTTAAAAAGCGAGACATTGTAACCGCCCGCTGCAGGTCACAATGTCTCACTTTTTGGTGTTTCGTCGTAATGCGAAGCCACACGCATGGACGAGTACAATGCAATTGAGCATGTCGATCACAGCTACGGAGTAACAACTCCCGAAACGAAACAAAAAAAAAACAAAGCCCAATCACCCGTAGCTACATACAGGGGCCACGAAAATGCAATCACAGCCATCGGCCCCCTCAAATCCTCCTTCATCCCTTTATTATGCCTGATATACAAAACAAAAAGCTCGAGACAGGTGGCCACTCATCTTTGCGTCCCGGAAACTACCGCCCGACTCCGTATCGCCCCTCACTCCCGCCGCGAAGCCCAACTTTTGTATGGAGTTGCGTTGTGCGTCTGATCCAGGAGCTGCTCCCAGCGCGCTCCACGCCCGGAAGATCCATCAGCTAGAGTGCCCGAACATCAGCAGTAAGAACGAAAAAAGACGGTAGTATTCGCTAGCTTGGCGCATTGAGACACGACAAATTCGAAATTCACCGGAATTCTTCAGCCTCTAACAAGGTACTGTAAAAAGGACGAGTCGGGAGAATGAGGGGTTAGGATTTGCTTGGCATAACCCTGCTTGAGCCTCAACCAACATCAACAACGGTCCAACTGCGTGCGTGCGAAAAAAAGATCAGGTTTGTTTCTTTTCGTGTTACTCTACGGCATCCACTGCCGGACTTGACTAACGCGGCCGATTTATTTTAATTCGTGCGTAGGACAAGCAAAGACTGGGAACTATCTGGAGACCCGGCAGCCCCCCGGGCGTACTGTAGTTACTCGAACGTTATTTCT